GAAACACCAAACACCAGTGATCATTATTCCACCATTCATGGTCCACTATCATATTTAGTTTCCTACGGTATCAGCTGCCCACCCTTATTTATTTCTTTAATTTGTTCATCATCTTTTTTCTTTTTTTTTTTTTGGTTCCCTTCAAGCACAATTTGCAATCTGGAAATAATGACCAAAATTCTGTCCATGCAGTATGTAATAGCTCACTTTCCAAACACAAGCACTAGAAAACTCATTACGAAGTATTTCATAAACTTCTGTCACTGCAGTAGGAAGTGACTGTAAATTATTACAGCTTTTCCAATTTAATGAGTACATTTAAATCTTGAAGTGATGGTGTTACTGTGTGCACTCAGCACAGAGATTAAAAAAAAAAAAAAAAGAAAGAGAAAAGAGAAGTGTATTTCACATTTACATTCACACCATGCAGAGTAACTGGTAAGCACTGATGTTTTTCAGATGAGCATACATTACTTAGCCTGCCACATGAAGGCATTCTGCAATTTGTAAACTATTTTAAACTCTACTGGAATTCAAGTTTTCTGGTTTATTTAAACACCTTCAAAGAACTAATATACAACACCAAATTTTTTGTTCTCAGCCTTTGGTGCATCATCCTGTACAATTTTTAATTCTTCCTATCCCTTCTGTAATTAGAAATTCTAGTGTTTTCCACAACCTGTCACACAGCATGCTCAAAGCAGCATTCAAAAAGTATTAACTATTTTATGACTATTTGTGCTAAAGAGTTTCAACAAAATCTGTATTTCTACAGCCTTCTCCAACAACAGATGACAAAAATCTAACCATTAACACTGCCTAAATTAATAGGAAAAGAACATTTGAAACATTTTATCAATGTGAAAACAGATGTAGGCACAAGAGAATATAGAATGGCTGAGAATGGAGGTTTGGTATCTGATTCCCTTGCTTTGATGAGAATGAGAAGTGAGTGCCCCCTGGTGCAGAAACGTCTGGTAGGCATGAAACCGCCCATCAGACTTTGTAAAAAAAAGAAGTAACACATTTTCCTATTTCTGATTTAGTTGTTCTGTATCATAAGAAAATCTAACCTTAAGCAATAAGAAAATACTGAGAAAAGTTATTTATGTTTCAAGCATTTTACACTATTTAAAATAGTTTTTCATTCATAGGGGAAATTATATTCAAAAAAATGAAGTGGTTCTTAGAAAGAACGGTTGCTCAGATAGACCTACCTGTAACCTGACAAGGCTGGATATTGATACAGCACACAAGAAAGAGATTTCTTTAAAAGTGCATATGTAAAAAGAAGCACGAAGCTTCATCATGCAAGTAGTAACAACAACCAAACGCCGTATAACTTACATGACTAAAGATAAAAAGTTCAAGTAGGTAAATCCCAAAATGTCAATATTGAAAAGTAGCATTTCAACATATGGTGTACGTTTAACTTAAAGCATGCTCACAAAATGCAGTTTAAAAGACAGTTTTCCCCAACATTCTATAAAGAAAAGGGACCAAATATGAGAATGTAAACAATACATTGTCGGCAATGAATAGTTCAGCTATTGTTTATTATTATAAAAAAAACAAAACAACAAGCACTCTAATCTATTACCAAGCTGTAATCTTTGGATTTGTGCATCTTGCTAGTAGTGTTTTCACCGGATTTTTCAATTGCATTTCAATGCAAATACATGGCAATGGTTTAATATCTTTACTGGAATAAGTCTATTATAATTTTTGAAAGGCACATGCAAGCTTACAAGAACTAACTGTTATGTAAGGCCATTTTCTTTAGGTTCAGGACACAGTATTAAAATACTCTTGTTATCAGGACCGTTCAGGTAAACCATCCACACTAACTCTATTCTGAGAATTCCACAAAGAATAGAACATATCTTCCATGATCACATTTACAGTTTCAAGAGATTAGTCACCCTTTCAACCATCAGTATTTTGAAGGAGGCCTGAAAAATGAGTTGTTACAATTATCTTAAAAGCTTAAAAATCTTTACTATTCTAACAGCTCAAATTATTTTGCTATCTATATAAATGCCTAGTCTTTCACTGAGTCTTGGTGCTCCCTTGTCCAGTGGTATCTTCAGGCTAATTCTCCATTGTTAGAAAATATTTTTCTTTCAGTCAGTATTGGAATGACTCAATTTCAATTTCATCCAATAACCCTGGCTTTAGAAGACCAGAATGAGCTGTCTGACCAATTCTCTGTATCTTTCATCATTCTGGGTACATTACCGTTGCACCTCTGTCTGTGTCTTCCCTAATGGCTGGATCAAACAACCTCTGTCCAAAAATACATTTTATTTGGAAATAAAAATGAAAAATTGAAAAACACCACAAACACCTCCCCAAACTCCAAAAAAACCAAGAAAACAAACAAAAAAAACCAACCAAACAAACAAAAGAAGAGCAATCTTAAAATGAAGCTCATGCTTTTCCTTGAACAGGACATTAGTAAGAACCTTCTTTCACAATTTCTTGACGTTACCCTCAGATATACCTCCTGGTCTCTTCCCTCACTTTCTATGGAAGCTTTCCCATTCCTGACCTAACTAATGACCTAAACTTTGCTTTGGTTTTGTTTCTTTTGACACAGTGTAACCAGAGCTGAATAAAGCAGGCACCAGTGATTTATATGAGATTGTTATATCTTCCCACATTGTTCCGCTTTGTGTTCCTTTCAATATTTGCCCTTCACACAATGTTGCTTATTAAAACAGAAAGGAATTTTAAACGGCTGGACTTTAAAAAAAAAAAAAAAAGAGTAAAAAGCCCAGAATTGGTCAGAGGTGTGGAGGCTGATGATAGCCTTGGCAGCAGTGACCAGGAGATGGTGAAGTCTGAAATCCTGACAGAAGTGAACAAAATGAATACTGAAAGAGCACTGGACTTCAGGAGAGGCAGATTTTGGCTTGTTCAGACATCTGCTTGGCAGGATCATACTGAAGACTGCTTTAAAGGGTAAAAAGGTCCAGGAAATCTGGATATCTCTCCAGGGAGTTCAAACCAGCAGAATGATGCATGCCAATGTGCATAAATTTAAGTGAAGCGAAGAAAAGTTAAGCTAATGTAGATGAAGGCCAACAAGAATTAACTAGGGACTCCTGACTTAGTTCAAATGGAAAAGGAAGCAAGCAGCTGGTGAAAGGGGAAATGTTATGCAGAGAAGGTATATGGTGATATCGCTGCAGTGTACAATGATGAAATTAGGAAACCCAAAGGTCAGCTGGAGAAGAAACTGGCAAGGGCAACAACAAAGGCCTCTGTATGTGTACAGGCAGCAAAACAAATCACCAAATTGGAGGGAGTTGCTGAAGGGCAGGTTTGTGATTCAGAAAGCCCTCAACACACTGAAGAAATGCACTACAAGATCTCATGAAGGTCTGCAAACGCACACGCAAGGTCCTGCACCTGGGATAGCATAGCTCTAGTACAGTGCACTAGTATAGCCTGTGGGGCAACTATCTGAAAACAGCTTTGCAGAAGACAATGTAAGAGTACAACATGAGTCAGCAATGTGCCCTGGCAGCAAAGGTGGCCACAAGCATCAAAGGCTACTTTAGCAAGAGGGTAGCCAGCAGGCCAAGGGAACTGATTATTCCCCTCTGTTTAACACTGATGGGACCATACCGCTGTGTCCAGTATATGAGAGACACTGACATACTGGAGAAAGTCCAGCAGATGTCCACCAAAACAAGTGGGGGCTACAACAGATAACATGCAAGGAGAAGCTAAGTGAACTTGTTTGCTTGGTCCTAAGAACAGGAGAGATTTTACTGCTGTTTTCCAGTAGTTAATGGGAGGATATAGGAAGGATGCAGCCAGGTTCTTCTCAGATGAGCACAGGAAAAGGACAAGAGGCAACAGACATAAGCTGCAAAAGGAGAATTCAAATAAAGCCTAAACAAAAAAAAAAAAATCACTATGAGGGTGGTCAAATGCTGGAACAGGTTGCCCAGATAGACTATGGTATCCCCAACGCTGCAGATAACCAAATCTGTACTGGACAAGGCCCTGTGGTCCTTATGGTGTCCTGAGGTCCTTCCCAAAGAAAATTATTCTGTGAATCTATTCTATGGTTCTATGAATAACAGAAAAAACAGCAACAATAACAACAAACCCCCAACGCAAATACACACTCGCAAGATATATGTACTGATTTTCAAACTTTTCTGACTCTTCAACAGAACTTGTATCAGGCACCAAGAGATAAAAGTTGTTTTAAAAAACACAGATTTTCTTGTGAGATCCCTTAAAAAAACCCCACAAAACTATGATAAAACCTCATCAATGTTAGTCTAAATGAAAATTTATGAAAATATTTACTATAATCAACAGGAAATAGCAACAAGAAAGTCTCTAATATCGAAACTGTATTTTTAGCTAATGCATCAGAGGACATCTGACGACACAGTAAAAAGTATCAGATAAACAAAAAATATTTTGAAAACAAAGCTGCTATTTCTTAAAAAAATCAAACCAGAATGAAAAATGTAATTGAAAGTACTATTCCAATGTAATTCAAATTTCTAAACTATATCAAAATCAGAAGCATTCATTTTATTCATTTTTCTAGGCAGCCACATGACAAAAGCACAGGAAAAAAAAAATAAATTTTTAGAACTAAGAATATGAGATGTTGAGAGTCAATAACAGTACAAAGATTCTCAGTGATAGGGTAATACAATGCTCTAAGTGGACTGGATTTTCACACTTTTGAGATTTCTTCTGGATTTTGTGCACTTGATTACTTCTGTCTATATAGTGAGACAGTGCTAATTTATGCCTTCCTACGGGGATGACGGCTGTCTGTGCCAGCACCAGAAACTGAATCAAGAGACTCCAGAGCTAAAAGCTAACAGGCTACAGGCTCTTAACTCGAGCTGCAGATTCATGTTTAATTCATAACACCAGGTACCTACACACCAGCTTGTGAAATGCATTCTTTCAGGATTTAACATTTTTATTTCACTTACTAAAAAAATTACATATCTTACCTTTAGGTCACTTCCTGGCAAAGTACCTATGCCATCCTTCCAGTCCATAGCACTAAATACATCAAACTCTTGACCATTTCCACTAGAGGCAGATTCGTTCATGATGCATGTACTAAAAAAAAAAAAAAAAAAAAAAAATTATCTAAAAATGCTGTAAGTGGCTTAATGCTTGTATCACCAGACATTCTTCAAACGCACTTCATAGTCTAGTATCAAATGTTTCTGTCAGCATACTGGCAATGTGAACAACTGATGACAGTGCTGCTAATACACATTAACGTAATAAAAGAAGAAATCTTCAAAAACCTTAAAAAATAATACCTGTTTAACACACTGGGAGGCTAATAATGAGGCTATATTGAAAAGAAATGAGAACTTTCAAACTGCAGATAAATTGACAATGGCAAAACATACCTCAGGTAAACCTAAAAAACCCATTTGTTCTGGGGAAAGCAAGACCCAAGTGCATGCCTAAAATAAATATATTAAGCACTGATGATTAATAGACCTGCATTCCCTTATTATTTGATAACATGCTGCTGCAAATGCTTCACCCAAGTTCAATCTGAAATTTCAAAATTAATTTGAAATTGTCTTTCATTTTCACCACCTGACTCAGGAGACTCAAGCATTCCTTGTACATACAGTTTCACTAGATCTTGATTTGCATTTGTAAGATTTATTTACATGGAGAGAAGCACATATACACCAGAGAAAATGACTACTTTGCAAGACTATTTTACTAGATCACTCTGTTTCAGACCAGTGAGAGAATATTTATCTTCAGAAATACTGGATTTGAACATCCTTTTCGGTGGGCAGAGTTTAAACCAAATAATTTGCACAAACAGAAGTATATAACACTTGCCACTGACCCCTGGCATTGGCCCACTGCTTGACAGCATCAGCTGCACTGAATTGTAAATGTTTCTAGCAGCCAGTTTTGACTACCATCAACTTCTTCCTTTCCACTTCATACAAACCCAGCAATCTTTGAATCCGTGGCCTAGCACCTAATTTCCTGTCTGTTCAATGTGAAATCTGACTCATTCATTTTCCTCCTGAAGAACTTCTGTGCTACACCTAGCAGCTGAAATGATTTCCAGAAAATTAGCTCCATCTTTGGTTTGTGAACTATTAGCAAAAACTCACCCCTCCGTAAATTTACACTTTCTGAACCTTTTCACAAATGCTTGCTAAGCCTCATACTCCGTCTGTAGACTGCAAACTTTTGCTGCAAGTATCGGTATTTGAAATTCAAATAGGTAGAGAGCTTCCTCAGTGCTTGACCTTGTTTTCTAAAATCTAATTTCTAACTTAGGTCCCAGTCCCAAAATCTGTAAATATCTATTAATACGCTCTGGAAATCCAGAATTTCCACAAAAAAAAAAAAAAAAAAAAAGACTTAGTGGTGTTTGTTCACTCACAGATAACAGAAAAAGATGCAAACTAAGCAGAAGAAAACTCAGGTCATCTAGAAGCCTTCTACTGAAAGTCTGAGGGGGAAAATGCTTAGCTAGTTAACCCTGCTGTGTAAGAATATAATCCAATTTACATTATTTTAATCAGAAAAATTGTACCAAATGCTGTAACACCACCACAACAAATACTACTCTAGTTTGGGGTCTACAATGTGGACTCTGTTGTCTTTCTCCTTGGTTTCCCCTGTATTCCCAGCAAAATTCTTTAGAACACCTGACCACCACCTTACTCCAGGAATACTTTGGTTACACTAGAGCTGCTACACAGTATCAACCATGTAACAGCAGCTGGACCACAGTCAGTAACCACTGCTTACGGTGAAAGCCTCTACATTCCCCTTTTCATGCAACAGTAAGGGCTCATAGAAGGCTCTTCGAGAAAACTTTGTGTATTTTACATGACAAGCATGAAGTTAGAACCACGGTGACTGTGTCTTCTCCATCTCCAATTTCAGTAATCCTCTGTGAGAAAGTATTGAAAACCGTACCATCGATGCACAAAAATTTATTTTAAAATATGTCAATAAATCTAAACAAATTCAGTGCAAACTGAGAAATTCCCCAAACCAACAGACCTTATTTTTTAAAAGCACTCCCAGGCAAGATCTGCCACCCTACCTCAGGCAGCTCCTACAATACAGCTTGGGCGATCTCTAATCCAAGAGCATGATACATTGCAGAGCTCAAGCCCACCAAGCATCCAGGCTTCCACACAGCAGCAGACCAGCTCAAGCAGACTTCCACAAAACTGAACTGCAGCACAATGGCAGAAGCGCAGGCCTTCTCTCAAGAATGCAAGACCCAAGCTGCTAAGGAGTAGCTGAAAAATTGCATCTATCCAGAAACCTGTGAATTTTTGAGGACATGCTAGTTTAAGTACATCAGTAAACTAGTGCTTATCAGGGGTAACAAGCTCCCCTGGCTAAGCAAACACAAAGATGCATTCAGTATTAACTAAAGTTTCTCGGTAATCTTAAATGACCACCCTATTTAAAAGACACTTCACTCAATGCTCCTGTGGTTTATTCATTAGAGAAAACATGTTCCAATGGTTTCTGCAGAAGGGAGGACAGAAGATGGGAAGAGATCTGGGAAGCTGTGGGAAAACACTTCCCAGCAGTGGCTGCTGTCCCATACAGCAAAGAGCAGCAGACAGGTACTCCATCAAATGCTGGTGTCTCTCAATAGTGCCAATCTTGTTATAGATACACTTTGCAACAGAAAAATGCCTGCAGAAAAATGACATGGGAAAAAAAAATTTAGACCCCAGCGTACTTAGGCAGGATGCAAACTGTGAAAGTAAAAAAAAAAAAAAATTAAATTGAAAAAAGTTCAGGGCATACTTCTCTCAAGAAAATATACAGATTTTAACTTATTTACACCTAACAAAGGCTCCTCAGGTAACAATCAGCAATAATAATCTATTCCAGTGTTTGATAAGGTACTCATTAGTGTTTCCCTTTTAAAATTAACATCAAAGACACAATCTGTACTTTCACACACTGAAACCTTCAGAAGTGTTCTTGGTGGAGATGAAAAGGTCACAGGGCATCGCAGATAGAAATTAATTTACCAAAAGGAGTAACATTTAACAAAATACCTGTTTCCAGCTTTGTTGAGTTTGAACAGACAAAAGATAGGACTATTCCCCTCTGCTAATGATAATGTGGAGTGAGATAGAGACCAATTAAATTGTTACAGCAATAAGGTACTAAAAAAGGATGAAATCATCGCAATACGTACATCTAAATCACAGAACAAAGAAAACTACCGAATGTTTTATCTACTATTTTTTTTAAAGCTCTGATGTAGTTCTTTGAACCAGTGTAACGCTTTCCATAATGATTTCATTTGCTATCATTTCTGTTGCTACACTTCCAGAAAAGCAGTAAAAATATTCAAATAACTAGATAAATAATAATACTAGGTTAACAAGGCAAAGTAACTACAGTACTGTTCCTATACCTATCACTGAATGCCATCTAACGTGAAGGAAAGGACACAGAAGTAAGAACTTGGAATAGTTATCTTCCAAAAGCATCTCCAAAATCTATTAGGGATGCAGCTGTATTATAGATGTATGTCTTCACAGCCATAAGCTATAAGATTTATAGAGGAGTTTGCTGCATGTTAATATTTCAACAACTTTGGTTTAGACATATGTAATAAATGAATTAAAATAAGCAAGCATGTAAAATAAAATTGGACACACCTCTTAGAAATAACTTTACTTTTGCCAACTGGTTCAACAGTAAATGAGTCCCTCACAGAGGACATAACAGCACTAAAAATTAGATACTTTCATCTGGTGAAAGACTCTCCAAAGACGTAAAGTGAATAGGAGAGACTATGGCAATTAAGCTTTTTGAAATAATTACAGGGTTACGTATTGAATACATAAAAAAGTAACAGGATACTGTTTTTCAGTCAGTGCTTTAAAAACTATCTGACACCTAGCCAAATTTTGAAAATCTAAGATACTACCTACGAAATGTTTGTATGATTTCTAACCAGTGGGGTCAACGCGATACCAGAACACTGGGCAGCAGAGAGAGATTTCAGCAGCAAAGCCACCAGTCAGCACTGCCAGACTGGCATAACCAGTCTGCAATGGCATGTCTTTCCTTTTCATGCATCCCTGTGTACTTTTATTTTTACTTTACAAGATTTCTGTAGCCACCATGATAGGACAGCCCAGCAGATTTCCCCCATGCTGGTCCTTTCCCCAGACAACAGCTCTTGTGAGAAGAGGCAAAACTGCATGTGGAACCAGAGAAGGTCTTGGTCAGTGGTACCAAGGGTGAGGTCCAAGGAACAAACAGAGGTCCTTATGGAGCTGAGACATGGTCCCTCTTCCCCACAAGGCTGGGTGACACCACCACGGATGGATGTTCAGAAACAAAGGCAACAGGTGAGTTTTTTATCCTAACATCACAGACAGTTATTTTGGGCACCTCCAACAAGGAGGCTGTTTGGCGCAGCACCCATGGGCAGAAAAGCCACATTTTCCCTAAACAATAAATCAGGAAAACAAAGCAGATCACAAAGGGACAACTTGGCGTACCAGATCTGCAAATATACTTACTCACTTCTAGACACCAAGGGACAAGTGGATGCTCAGCTTCAGCTTTACTTGACATGTAAGAATGTGAATACTTACCAGGGCTTACTTGTTACACCGCCAAAGCCACACAAAGCAGAAATACCCCTCACATCTTAAGCTGCCTCTACTTTAGACAGACTTTGTATTAAGCTAGCTTCATGATGACAGCAAAACCAAAGCCAACTCACTGTAAACCCAGAGGGGAGAGCTCTGCTTTTCTTCTCGCAAACCCCTTTTTGGCCTGGGTACTCCCAACACTTGCTTTTTTTTATCACCCTTCATCTTTTTGCACCTTATTCTTCACTGAAAGAAAAACAACCACAACAGAACAGTGCAGGAAACAGTAAAACGCTTTGAGGCTATTCACCACATTTTAATAATACACTTTGCTTTATACCTGTTCCATGATTCAACTATTTATATGTTTCATTAAAAAAAAAAATCTGCAGATGACATACTTCCTCCCAAGTCTCATTTTTTTGTTGTTTAGGAACTACATTACCAGTTCTGCCATGTTTCTGTTCTGTAAGTTGAAGAGCTGTTTGAGTAAATTTTACTATTTTGCTGGTTGCTTATGATGTTTATTACCAGTAAGTTAATTTAAAGGTACATAGATTCTATACATACTCACAAAGGGATGACACCTTAAAAATCTTCGCCATTCTTAACACTTGTTACAGAAAATGGACCAAATTTCCAGTTGATGATGTCCCTTCAGCATTATTTCCACTTCTTTATCTGTTGCTACTCTTCTGCTGCTAGATTCTCCGGGGGTATTGTGTCTGTTTGTTCCTGCTTCCCAATACTTTAGCTTAAAATCTTTTTCCTCACAGGACGAATCTGGACATAGATGGATTCAAAATGCTGCGAAGCTTGAGCCTGCACTGGTGCTAAAGGAGGTTCATGCTGTTCTCACCTGAGTCTTACCTTTGTCAGCAAGTGACACAGGTATTGCTGTAGCATTGCTAGAAAGAAACTGGGTAACACAGTTACATGCAGCTTCATCTACCACGTCATTTTCAAGTATCCACAGAACTCTACAGTAACAACAGTTAATACCAAAGCTAATGAAACATCATCTAATGAAACAAACCACTAACAACTTTCATCTTGATCATCAAGAACCTGCACTTCACACCGAAAATTATTTCCTCTGCAATGCTTTATGACTCCTTTATTTCTGTTACTGTCTGTGCAGGCCTGGGTGGAGGTTTAACCTACTCAGATAGCAACACTTGAGTACACCTCTGGAAAGTCTTGGTTTCTCTTAACTCCTTCAATCAGGCACAGAAAGTTACAGAAAATTTCTGCTTTCGTGTATCTGTGCCCCCTTTCTTGTGCGGACACCTCCTTGGGAAGAACTGTGACACACCAAATCTTCTCACTGAATATCTATCACCTGACCCATTTCATATTGTTATTTTTTACACAAAGTTAATTCCACGTATGACTGAAGGCTCATTTTGTCGGACTCGTGCCCTGCTCTTCCTCTTCTGCCAGTTTTCAGCAGCTTCCATGAGCTCTAGTGTCCTTCAACAATTAATTCACCTTTTTCTAGCTCCTAAATACACTCAACAGGCTACTGCATTTATAGACCTTCCCTTCTCCCTCATAAAGAGCTCAATTCTCCCATTGCAATGAGCGGTCCTGCTACTGGAGCACTAATAAGCTACAACTATGCACACGTACTATCAAACTTCTCGGGAAGCCCCATGCCAGGTAATCACTGGGTCCTCACACCCACCACTCGCAATCCATCATCCTCCTTACCAACAGTATTTAAAAACCCAGACAGTAAATGCAGTAGCCCGCAAAAAGTCAACAGCCTCTCCTGAAGAATAGGTGGTGCTCAATAAAACTGAACAAGTCAGAGGAAAAGGACTCATCACATAATCATTTTCTTAAGTTGCTAGAACTTTTAAAAGCAGCAGTAGAAAAACTCATTAAGCCGAAGGTGAAGCATACATCACAACAACACACAAAACCAGAGTTCACTGCAATTGTTCAACTGTCAACAAAAACCATCCAAGATGATTGGTTTGGGCACCTTCATTAGAGCACCAGTTTAGGAGAAGACCAACTGGATCACAGTCAAAGCTGCTGAAGTCACACCAGGAAAAAGCAAATATCCGCACCACCCGATTTAAGCAGAGTGCTTTACTGCGTTCAGCTGCCGGTTTCAGGGAGTTTCTCTCTGACAGATATTCATCACACAAACTTCTGCGAACCTGATAACTTCCTTGGTAAAACGCACCAGTTTCCTGAACAGCTTTTAAATTTGCATTGAGAAAACTGTGTCACGATCCTGAATGCAGACTATTTCCGAAAACAGAACACGCTGAAGTTTTTGTATCCCGAGTTTTATTTATGCTCACCACCTGATTTTTAGCACCCACGACTAAGCATCCATTCATGAGTAGAAACAGCAAAAATGGTCAGTCCAACGCCACTCAACCATACGAGGGAAATTAAGAAGGAAAACAGAACAAAAGTGAAAATGGAACTCGTGGTACCCTTCACTGTAAAGCTTACACACACACCCATGTTATTAATTAAGCACAGCTAATTAAACACCACGGAAGAGGCTGTGACCCTCACCACCCCGGGAGGCTGCCGCATCTCCAGGGGCCTCCTTCCCCAGCCGCGCTACTCGCTGACGCTCGCACCGCGCTCTCTACTGGGACAAGCGACACGGCCACGGGGCGCGCCCCGCGCCGCTCCCCACGCAGGCCGTGGGCCGAGCCCACCAGCGGCGAGGCAGTTGGGAGCTGGCGGGCTCGGGTCGCGGCCGGCCCAGAGCCGGCCCTGCCTCCCTTCCTCCCGCCTTCCTTCCCTCCCTCCCTCCCGGCGCGGCGCAGCGGAGCAGCGCGGCAGCCGGAACGCGGCGGCGAGGCCCGGCGGGCGCGGTCGCCGCTCCCCGGCGCCGGCAGCCCGCGGCCTACCACCAGAGGTCCCTCCTTGGCCAGTTTTGCGGCGTGTTTTTGCTGCACTTGAAACTTTCTGGAGAAAACCCGGGCTCAGGTCCGCGTCTTCCCCAGGCTTGGACAGAACCTCCGAGACAAAAGCGCCCGCCCGGCCGAATCCTGCTCGGAGCGCTCGGGGAAAGCGGTTCTCAACTTGTTCCGTTTCTCCCCTGAATTTGCCTTCCCACAGCACCCCCTCCGGGGGCAATTAAAGGCAGCGGAGGGGGAGTGCCCCTGCCCGGAGAGGGGGCGAGCGCCGTGCAAGGGGGCTGGAGAGGAACTGGGTGTTAAATGTTCCTGAGGAAGTTGCACAACGAGAGAGGGACTCTGCTTGTTTACCGGGTCCTTGGCTTTTTTAACTCCCAACCCCCCCCCCCCCCCGCCTCCTTCCGCCCCCCCGAGAACGGAATCCGGGAAAAGGAGGCTCTTTCCTAGTGGAAAGGAAAAAAATTATATTTGAAAATTAAAAAAATGTTACCTTCTCCTCCCTCCTCCCCTCCCCCAGCGCGGAGGAGGAGGAGGAGGGGGGCGAGCTCCCTCTTTTTTCCTAGGAAACTGCCGGGGTTTGCTCCCCGGCCGCTCGGAGCCGCTCCCCGCGCATCGCTCGGCGGCGAGGTCGCCCCTTCCCGCGGGCGGGGCGGGCACACACCGCCCCCAGAGGGCTCGCCCCCCGCCGGCCCCGCAGCCGCCAGCGCCTGGCCCCGCGCTACAACTTTTTCTCTCACGCTCTCGTGTGCGCCCGCTCCGACGGGGAAGGGGGGAAAAGCCATGGCGGTGGGGAGCGGGCTCCACTGCGGCCCCGGCGCGGCGCCCCCCGCTTCGGGTGCTGCCGCCCCGCCGGCCTCTCCCGAACCCCGGCCCCGGCTCCGCCGGAGCGCCTTCCCGTCGTCCGCCTCCACCACCCATCCCTCCAAAAATCGCTTTCCGCTTTCCCCCTGCCAACAAAACACCACCTCACACACGTTAGCGAGAACAAGTGTGCCCATATCCTGTTGTTATGTGCACCGGCTGCGAAGACGGGGAGGGAGAGACAGGCTTGTGCGCGGGGGCCGCTCCCCCAGCCCGGCCGCACTCCAGCCGAGAGCGCGCAACTTCACAGGAAAGCCGCGTCCTATTCCCTGCCCCCAGCCCTCCTCACCACCCCCCCAGCAAAATGCGCACTCACGTGTATGTGCACTCACATACACCGCCGGCACCCCGGGGCAGCCCCCGGGAGCCCCCCAGGCCGGCCCGCGGAGCTGCCGGCGGTGACAGACGCCGGCCCCGCCGCCGCCCGCAGCCCGGAGCGGGCAGGGGCCGTTCGCCGCCGCCTCGCGTGTCTGCCGCAGCGCAGCGAGCGCCGCGCACGCACCGCACAGAGGCAGGAACTGAGCACTCGAGCTAAAGACTTTTTTTTTTTCGCCTCTTAAAAAAAAAATGCTAGAAGCTTTTTTTTTTTTTGTATGTGTATGTGTGTGCAAACTTTCCCCAAAATGGCGGAAATTGGGAGATGATTATATTTTAAATATTTCTCGCACACAATCACACAAAGTGCAGGAGCGACGGAAAACACAAACTCCGCTGCGCGCTGAAGAGGCCTTCGCACACGGGAACCCACGGCACATTCAACCGGTATATCCCGGCAGCCGCCACCTCCCGCCGCTTCCGACCGAAAAACAACCCGGGGCTCCTTCACACCCCTCTCCGCCGAGCATTGCCCCCTCGTAGCCCGCACTTCTCCATGTCCTTCAGTCTGTGTGAACAAAGAGCCGGGGCTGGAGAGGGGGGGGCTCGGGTGGCAGCGAGCCCCCTCCCTCCTTCCTTCTTTCCATCCCCCCCTCCTTCGCTCCTCGCCCGGCGCTCACACGCACACTCGCGTCCGCGTCCCCCCCCCCACGCGGCACCCGCATCACATTGTTCCCAACAGCGCGGCGGTGCCCCGTAAGTGTCATTAAATGGAACCAACTGACAAGCTCATTGGTGGGGCAAGTCTGCAAAATGTCTCTCCCCTTCCCTTCCCCCTCACTTCGGAACCCACTCCCCCCCACTCCCCAAAAAGGCCCCCCCAACACATTTCCACAGCTCCCTCCCCCGCAGATAGATATATATGTACATACACATACGTGCGTGCGTGCCCGTGTGCGTATATAAATACACAGCGCATACATCTACCCATGTACACCCTTCGTGTGTTTGGGAAGAGAAAAAGAAATACCAGGCACCTCTCTCTTTCTTTTGTTCCTCTTTCACACTCGCACACTTATGATTTAGTGCGGTCCCCGGTGCCCCAGCCGCTCCCCAGCCACTTGCGAGTCACTTGCCCACTTTCCCCAGCATTAACTTCCATCCTCCCTGCCCGAGGTGGTGGGGAAGAAGCCCCCTCCCCTTCCCCAGATACGTTTCGTAAGGGAGGGAGAGGAGGTGCGCCTCTCCCTTTATCTCTCGCGCTCTCTCCCAACTTTCATCCTCACCGAGGCGGAAAATCAAACCCCATCGCCAGCTTTCGCCGCTGCCGCTCCCTGCCCGGCTGGCGGATTAGCTCGGAACCCGCCGCTCCTTACCCCCCCAAATTCTCTCTCTTTTCTCCGTCTCTCGAGTAGTTCTGACAAATATGGTCCAGGGCTGCGGGCACCAGTGAGCATGCGCCCGCCGAGCCGGGGCTGGGGAAAGGGGAAACGGCAGTCGCCGCGGCGGTTCTTCCTCCCTCGCCCGCGCTGCCGCTGAGCCCCAGCTCCGGCAGCCGCCACTGGCCACCGGCCACTTTCGGCAACCCTCACCCTCTCCAAAACCCCGGCCGCCGCCAGCGGCTCCGGCGGAGGTGCATCATCTTCCCTGATTTACTGCCGACGCCGGAGGAATAATAAGGAGACTTGTGCAGCAGCCGCGCGCTATTTTGGGCGCCTTCAAAAATACTGCCTCGCACTTTTGGGGGAGAGGGGCTGTGAGGCTGGGCATCGGCCGCCCCGCCAGGTGCTGCTGGGGCCCGAGGGTGGGCCCCGTCGTCTCCGTGAAACGGACCCGAGACAGCGGTGGGACAGTTCCTCCCCGGCGGCGGGAGCGGGGCGTTGAGGGGAGGGCGCTGCTCTCCCCGCTTCCAGTGAGGGGTCACCAGGGCAGGTCCGAGGCCGAGTCGTCCGCAGCCAGGCTCCTCGGGCGCCCTATAAACGCGGGGTTCCTCAACATGGTCCTTAGGATGGGCCTCGTCTCATTTAAAACCTAGCCTGCTTGCACAGTAAAAGTAGTTTCCGATGTGCCACCTGCCTGGATTCTCGCCATCGTTGCCCTGCATTCTCAAATAAAAATACCACCTAGAGCATTTATTTTCTGTCACTTGTTGCTCAGGAAACAGTAAAAACTGAACGCCCTCCTTATTTCATGGGATTGGCCTGGGTGGACTTCTTTTACCTACGAGGTCAGTTATGCAAAAGAACGCTAAGCAAAATAGAACTACATAAGGCCTAACTAGACTGGGGGGGGAGGGAGAGAGAAAGGAGGATCACAACTAGGTGCTGATATATACATACTTTTAAAAATGTTTATGTCCATAAAAATATATATAGTTTCAGGCAGGCAAAGTGTAAAACAACATATAGCATAACCTTATGCTCCTAATGGGTTTTTTTAGACCACAGAATATCTCACTAAGGTGACTACATCTTTAAGGCAAAAAATGTTGAAGTGAATTTTGAATTGTTAATGGTTCAGCTTATTATTATATATCTCTTAAAATAATTCTCAAATCTCAATATAGTTTTGCTAATCCCAGTCATGATCAGTGTCCAAGCTTTCTCTTGATTACTGTAACAGAAATAATAATAAATACTAATAAATATCCAGGAATAAGTATCGGCATTAAATATCAATAGAAATAAATACATAGCCAAAATGCTCACCTACAAAGTCAGACTCACTAATAAAATGGTTTATACAAGACCAAATGCAATCTTTTTGCTACCGATGATATGTATTCTATTATAGTAGTATCCCATGATGGAGACAGCATTGCACTGGACACAGGCTAGAGGTGATTCTCTGACAGGAGTTCTGAGTCTCAGCTTCTGTTCAGTAGAGCATTTACTTGAGAATGTGTATTAAAATATTTAAGAACCACACTTGGCAGCTCTCCTTGCTCCATGCTGAAACAATTTAGACATGACTTCAATTAGACTTTTACCATACTATCTTGAGAGTTCCTATTTATTTAAATCAATTTTTCTTCACAACAGTAAAATGGGGCTTACCCATAAGTGTTTGCAGGATTGGTGCCTAGGCACAATAAATGGGAGTTATTTTATGATGAGCATTTCTCACACAGCTTCAGCTCAAATGGCGTATCATATAGGCTGCAGTTTTTGTCAATGAACATATGTTCATTAGAAACTAATTACAGAAAACAGTATTAACCTAATTGTAATGATTAGTGATAACATAGATTTAAACTCTTCTAAAACACAGATGCGAAATATAGTAAAGGATGAGAAAATTCCTACTTTCCACCAGTGTACTGTCAGCTGAGAAAATTCATGGGTTAGAAACAAAGAATAAACTGTAACTGAAGTCATTCAGTGCTTTTCTGAAAATTATTTCCCAATGTTATTGAAATGGTTTTATGCAGATAGTTGCCAAATAACCAGATTATACTATTGTAGCCTTAAATTAGCTGGGCTCTGCAGAAGACTGTTAAGGAATTATACAATTTGGTACTATTTAAAAATCTTTAGGACGTTCAACCTGCACTAATTATTTCTCCAGATGACATTGAGGTTTTGGGGGGAGGCTGTACCATACCCTGGTATGAAGAGACATTTCTAAGAATACAAATGATGAGTTATCTGCAGTTATTTTATTTATGTTTGAAAGACTTTGTCCCTTTTCCTTTGAAAATCTTCAAGGGAAACGTAGAACTTGTAAAACCTTGTTACAATATAATTCATCTAACCTACTTGCAGAAGTCATAGGAGTGTAGCCCCTTACAGAAGATGAAGACATAGGTGAAAAATCTCCTTGAAGGATACACTTTGGAAGTCAGAACTGAAACCAAGTACTTGAAGTTGGGTATAGCTGCATTATTGGATCAGTAGTTTCAAATGGATAGCCCTTTGATTAAAATAACCTAGGAAATTAATAAAGGTACCTTCTGTTCTCTTCTTCTATCCTTGCCTTAATTATATTGTGGCAGCTCGTGATGTATAATAAGCCCATTATTTTGTCAATAAAATTTATCATGTAAAAATAGACTGAAAGTTATTAAAATATGCTCTTTAAACATTAATCCTGTTGCCATTTTATTTAATGCTAGACTTCTGTCTGTATTCTGAGGATGGAAAATTTTCAACACTTGTTTTCTATAAGTATGGCGTTTAATATGATTTTGGCAGTATATTTAACGACAGATTTTGGCATAGCTAAATTTGATCTCTTAAGTATTCTCGTAAGTAACTGAATAGGTATTTGTGCTGTAGGCAGATACTGGTTATTTTTCGAAGAGCATGTGCATGAACATCCATATACATGGCTTCCAAATCCCAATTACTTAGCACTTCTTGCTTTCTGCGGTACAGATTACGATGCCTTAAAGATGGCCTTATTTCTCAAACACAGCCTGCACATAACATTTTCTCACCCTTCTAGCAGCCTGTGCAGCAAATTGTGTGACCTTTCGCACCAGTCTGCCACTTGATTCTTCCCAAAGCCAAGCCAGGGGGACAGGAAAGAAGGCTTGAGACAAAAAAAAAAACAAACAAAAAAACCTGGCAAAAAAATGTTGTGTATGCTATGTTGTATATAAAACCCTAACCCAGGAAAAAGGAAGTGTAAAAGCATTAAAAAACTGGGGGTGAGAAGAGATGGTGTATGTGCCTGTCTAGTAAGAAAGACAGGCAAAGTGCAGTCTGTGGTGATTCCAGTTCCTCTCAACAGTGCTCTTTCCTCTCCAGGGAATTTGATGCTCCTGTAGATGTGAAAAAACAGCGACCAAGTCATTTTCAATAGAACTGACTGGTTTTTGCCAATAAGCCCACAATAATTGTCAAAAAGTTGATTCAGATGCCATCCTAAACTGGAGAGCCAGTTTTATTTCCTAGCTTTGAAATCTGAACGTGTGCCCTGGCCACATCCCAGCTCCATACTAGAGTAAGACTTGTGTATGTAACAGTCTTTTTTCCTGGGAAAGAAGCTTGAGCCTGAGTACTTGAAAGAAACGGCAGTATTTTCCAGGAAGGTTTCAGCCCAATATGCACCTGGATGCTCTCTAGGTGCAGCCTTGGAGAGTTTGTTTCTAGAGACTGGGAGTTTTGAGACATTGTGAAGTAGGTGTTTCAAAGATAGATATTATCAAAGTTGCAAGACTACAAAGATTTCCAGAGGTGGTGTTCATCCTGAAGAAATTCAAATAAATACCCGAAGTTACAGGATTGTCATTCAGTGTGAAGTGAATCCAGAGCCACAATGCCTATGAAAAGTCTGGGGAGAACTGGACTAGAATAATGAGGTGTAAAAGCAGAAATCATTTGTGAGAGTGGGTCAAATGCAAATTAAGACTTATATTGGGAATATTGATGAGGACTCTTGTGCCAGGAGAGGATTGAAATTGGAAGCTTGGACATGCGGGTCAGGCATTAGGGAATGGCTTGGAGTACTGGCAAACTCTTGAATTAGTTGAGGAAAGCAGGAGATGGCACTGTTTCATGTGGTAGGAAGGAGGAGTACAGAGGTACAGCAGAGACTGTGCAGTCTGGAATGGATGATAGGCCAAAATAAATCGGCAAGAATAAAGGTCCTGTGGGAGGGTGAGGAGTACTAAGAGAGACTTACCACAGAGAAGGACAAATGGTGTGGAAAGAGGCAAAGAGAGTGTGAGGGGGCAAGAAAGGAAAGGGGGAGGGAGGGAATCTGCATCAGGAAAAGCTGGAATAGCAGGAGATTTGCAGTCTTTAAAGAAGGAGTGTAATAGATGAAGTTCAAAGGGGTAGTAACGAGAAATATCTTGATTATGGGTGGGGTAGAGGCCAACCATCCCAAAGCTCTTTTTGACATAGCTCTCTATTCCTGCATGCTCTTTTCTAAGGTGAGTGGGCACATTCTGCATATAAGAGCCATTATGATTTCCCTTAGCAAAAGGCTTCAGCTCCAACCATGCATAAGATTACAACGGCCTTGCAGCAGAGCATTACATTGGAAAGCCTGTTCAAGCTGGATACTCCAGACCTGTCATCCAAAAAGCTAGTAGTCAATCTGAGAGCTAAGGCTGTATTTTTAAATAAGCACAAAGAAGGCAGATTGATGAGGCAGCATAGGAACAAATATCACTCTTGGGAACAGAAGCTGAATGAGAAAAAGTTGCAGCCTGCACTCCTTTTGTGGAAAACAATTCTGTTGAAATGCAACAAATGAAGGGGTTATTTTAATAATTGTTGGTAGAATTTCTAGATCCATAACTGTTGCTGAAAATATCTGGAAGGGAATAAATAGCTCACCCTGTGGGTTTGATTGGACAGCAAAGCCTGGCAGCAAAGGGAAAGGAGAAGGCAATCCCATCCAAGGTCCTTAAGACACAATAGCAGAATGAGAACTTGCTCTAACTTGCTCTCCCTGGAGAGCAGTAGGACAGTTTTTAGAGCAACATGTGTCTGACTTAGTGACTCACAGCCACATGTGGACATTCCTCATAAAACATGAATTGATGAAGCAGTAGATGAACAGGAAAGAATCCCCAATATTGCTTGTACTTGACATAAGATCACGTAACTCAAAGTATGCATGTGGACTCTTCTTTCTTTGTTTTCAGTCCTTTTTATCTAATAGTGTCCTTCAACAAGTAAATAAACCCCTTTGTTTTAAAAAGGCATTGATGATAAAAGACAGATTTCATATAACAGGCAATACACACTTGATGTATGTGGGATAACACACGCAGTTACTCCGAGCAATCAGATTTCTCCTTGAACTGGCTAATGCAAAAGTCTGACGACAGTGGTTAAAGGCGGTAGAAAGAAAACAGAAATGCTCAAGGCTGTAGTAAACACTGAGTGAGTTTTTTTGGACATTGATAAGAGTTTTTCCTTACCTGAGAATTCAGAATTAGGGTTGCAGCAGAACAGGTATCCGCTAGGCCTACCAAATGCTACTGCAATTAAAGCAAC